TCGCAGTTGCGAAGCGCTTCAAGAGAGCAAAAAGGCAAGGTGACGATAGTTCAGCAACAGAAGAGCCCGAGAGTCGGGCAGGCAGAAAAATGAGGGATTTGAAAACAGCACTGAAGCTGCTGGCGCGGGACCTGCAGTTACACTGTGGCCCGCAAGTAAGGCAATGGACATGAGTTGCGGAGGCTCAAGAGGGGACGCGCGCGACAGAACAATGAGTAGGGCTGGTACCCTATTTGATGTGCTGTGTTGGGCCTGGCTACATTAATTTCCCCGTGCAGTGCTACTTTATTGATTTCTGGACCGCTCGGTTTTGTTGTGTATATCGGACACAGCGCGCGAAACTTAAATCACGTTAATAACAAAATATATAAATCAACACAAAAAAAACACAAGGGAGCAGGCAGGGCATCCCGATCACAACGCAGCCAAAGAACGAAGCAGGGGGGACGCTGAGCATGCAACGCTGGGGACGATCGTTGGGCCAGCAGTGCACTTACTGTGCACTGGGGGAGTGTGGAATATGCGATTCTAATTATAAAATTATATAATATTTTCTTCGCTTTTTTAAGGCAATGACTCAGGGATGCGGTTGCATCCCTGCGTGTTTACAATTTTGCTTCATTTTTGTCCTACCCTTTTTTCATACCCACAAAAACCTTTCGTTCTTTATTTTTCTTCTTCTTTTGGCCCCTACCCCCATTTCCTTTTCCTTTGTCACCTCCTTTTATCTCTCTTCCTTAAATTCCCAAAATTCCTTCCAAATCGTTGCCTCATATCGCAGGACGGGCCATTACTCCTTTTATAACCATCCTTATCCTTCCTCAGAGCCTTAGCTTCTTAAATCGCTCTCACTTTCTTCAACTAGCTTCAGCTTGATCAGCTCCGCACGCCAGCTACTTATCCCGCCGACCCAATCTACGATCACAACTGGGACTCGGATCTCTTCGTCTCGAAGCCAAGATTATTCGACTTCGGAAGCCTCTGCTAAATCCCCTGCCTAGCAGGCTATCTCGCTCACCGGAGCTCAAGCGTCACACTTTGTGTTATTATTGCCATTGTCTGTGTCGTAACAAGACATAAAACTTTTCATTTCCTTAATTGGCCCTCTAGTCTACGCACCACGCCACACAGTGATCCACACACGTAAACAACCCATCACTTAAAAATTTCTACTAGGGGCACACTTCCGTCCCCTATGCGGTGCGTCAATAATACTGAAGACAAAAGATACACGTCACAGTGGGCAGAGAAACAGATCACTGATACCTCCCGCCAGCGGGGGAGTCGCACATCACAGTTTTGATGCTTCAAAGCTGCGGCTCGCCCTTACCACAGATGACAACTTCGAAACGACGTGGTTGATGAGGACAAGTGCATGCTTTGAGGTAGGGATGTGCGCTAGAAAATTTCAGCACTAGTCTATGGTCTTATGTCGCAATGAGAAAAAAAAAGAAATAATCAGGTAAATAAGTGAACCTCACAGTGGGAATGAAGTATTGCAGAATGGCAAGAGCAACGGCATATTACGAACTTGTTAGTTTTTATAACATTGTTGCGAAGTATTATGAATTCTTCATTAGTCTTGTAGCATCGGGTTGCCTAATTGTAGGAAAATTTTTAAGCCACCGGCCAAGAACTCGCAAAGGAAACCTTTGCTGGCCGGTCAAGCATGTGTCCGAGAATCGCAAAGGAAACCTTTGCTGGCCGGTCAAGCATGTGTCCGGGAATCGCAAAGGAAACCTTTGCTGGCCGGTCAAGCATGTGTCCGGAAATCGCAAAGGAAGCCTTTGCTGGCCGGTCAAGCATGTGTCCGGGAATCGCAAAGGAAACCTTTGC